ACGCCCCATTAACTCTCGAATCGAAGCTGCGAATGGCGCTTCGTAAGGCGCGGAATGCCGCTGTAATTTGGGGCTATTGTCGTAAGGATTACGTTATCGGGCGTCTTCTCCGTCGTGGGAACGGCGCGTCTGCTGAGATCCGTTCGTGGACTTGGCGCACTTGTTCGGCTTAGGTAACAGGGCGGGCGAATGCAGCGGGGGCTGCTGCGGAACCGAGGAGACGTGCGTGATCGGCCTAAAAACGGGCTCGGGCAATACCACCCAAGGTCTGCACATGACGTCGCCGTTGGTGAACAGCCCGACCCGCCCCAAGTGACAAACACGCTGAAGCTATAGACGCGTCTGTCTTGGCGATTCCGTCTCCTAACGTCGTTCTCGTTCTGAGAGGCTGCACGACGTGCTGGCGGCGATGCTGACGCCAGGAAAAGTGACGCTGCGTGGGTTCACTATGGGACGACGTTTGGGGGAGAAGGGCGCGAGCCTTGTTTTCGAGGTGATATACTCACTTCGTGCCAGGAAGGCGACAGGGGACGAGGCTTACTGCCACCGGCAACGCGTCGCCCCCGTTCAGTTTTGAGGCTTTACTATAAGGCGATTTCGAGGGTTTCCTTTCAAAATAAACGGTTCTTCTTTTTTTCGTTTTTTCTTGTACACGAAGCGCTTGGAAACGTTGAGAATATTTTCTAGGTATCTGAGCGCGAGCGTTGCTCATAAAACGATGCACTAACACAGAAAAAAAGTAACGTTTGCGTCGTTCTTTTATTTATTTTGTTTCCTTCTGTGCGCGAGCCTCGACAACGCGCCGCATTTCTACTCAGAAATAGCTCTGACTCCTCGCGAGTAAGCACCTGCATTCTCTTTACGCTGCCGCGGCACACCGAGATCCAATATGGAGTTATAGTAGATCGTAATCTAGAGCTACGCATTGCCAGCGGTAGCTCGTGCCCATACTTGTGCCCGTTACTTCAAAAAATGTATTGGATTACAATTACAAATTTCCCAGCCCCAAAATGTAATGAATTAACGATAGAAACAATTTTGATGTTTTCAAATATGTTCTATAACACTACTTTCCATTTCTCATAACTCGCATTATGGTAGTCCTTGTAAAAGTAAAATATTTTGCTTGAGAGAAACATTGTAGGCGCAAGGTTCAAGGTGACGAGGTAGCGAAAGCTGGAACCACAACCGCCATCTCGCTAACATACAGCGACCGGAAATGATCCCTGGAATTCTGCAGACAGAGCTAGCGGTGCGCATGCTCAGTAGCAGCATTTACCTCCGCTTAGAGATGCGGAGGTAAGGAACCGATGTACGAAAGCTCCCAGTGGAAACGGGCCTTTCGAGTGGTGTAAAAGGGAAAAACAATTAAACACAAAGAGGTTTCTCAGAAGAAAACTGCGATGGAAGGCGATGGAAAGGAGCTAAGTCTACTCGGCATTGTCTTCTTGGTCTCTGTTTTTCGCATAGTATTTTCACGTCTTTCTCGTGATTCTGGTGACCGGTCAGACGAAAAATCGTTTTATTTTCGGTTATTCATCTCCACGATGGTTTATATTTAAATTTGTTGAACTTGCTATCTGTGTGCCTCTGAATTGTCTGCTCGTATTGCTCCAGTTTCTTTATTATGTTCATATCTAAAAAAAAGTAACGAGTAATTAAAGTAGTCCGTTAAAAATATTTTGTAACGAAATTGCTTTACAAATTACTGTCGCAAAAAAGTAACGTGGCAATTATGAAATTACTTGAAAAAGTAACGGATTACAAGTAATGCGTTACATGTAAGGATTACTTCCCAAGTCTGCTCGTGCCGCATCTTTGAAGTGTGGATTCAGCACGCGCCCTCTGGCCCTGCTTTCTGTAGCGTACGATTCACCAAAACACTCTTAACAGATTGATCTGGCCAGCCGTTCCCCGCATGCATGACGCCGCCGAAACACTAGTTCAAGTGAGGCAAGCGCCCGTGCACTAGACACAGCTCTTGCCGACCCGTGCTCTGCTCGCGCAGACCCCCAGCGGGGTTTTCGCGCGTGCACAAAGACTATAGTTCCCACGTTGCATACCGGCAGCGGCGGCGTAACTACAGTGTACTAGAATACGGGGTAGTGTTTGGACTAGGGTGCCTTCATGTGCGCTCTGCTTAGGGTGGTGGCATCTCGCCATTTTGTCACACACTTTTATTTTTATTTTTTGTTCAGAAGTGCGTGAAAGGGCGTGTCCCTGCACGCGCTTGTGGCGCTGACTGTGCTATGGCGACATTTTGTTTTCGTCGATTTCTTTGTATTTTTCCCGTGAGCGCGTGCTGTCGGCATGTGGTACTACAAAGGGTGGCATCACCCTAAACAGAAGGACATTGAGGCACCCTAGTTTGGACCGGCGTGACTCGACAATGGGAACTTGTGAGGCTGCGCGTGTGGAGAACAATCGGGGGGCTGCAGTCGACAGGGCAGCAGAAAGTCGCTGTAGTCTGCACGTGCCCCCGCACGTGCGCGTGCACGCGGTGTACGTGCACAACTACCACAATACTAACCTTGCTGCCGCAGAGCCATAATAGAACAGTTTGGCCATTCATTGGGAAGTATAGGAGTCAAATAAGGAGGCGCCATTGGCCAAAAGCGGGCTAGGCGTGTTCCAAGGCGTCTTCACAAATTCAGATCTGGCCAGCTAAAAGCCGGAAAAATAACCTGGCGGTGGTCGCGAGAAACGAAATTAATAAGTGCGTCGGAGTAACTCTTGGTGACTGAAAATATGGTGCACGTGATATTTCAAACACGGTCATCCAAAATGAAGGTGGAAGAGCGCGACTAGCAGAATGATCGGCATAATACGTTCGCCATGCGCCGAAGGCCGGGAATCTGCCGTCCGAGCCGTCGCACTCACTGATCTCTATTATAGGGGTCTGGATGGCGCATTCTGCAAGCAGGTATGAAGCCACCGGAAGTAAGCGGCTTGTCTCGGAAGTGAGCTTGGCAGGCTTTGTAAGCCTTCCGAGTGCTGGTTCGAAAAGCGTCGAGGGCGCTGGATTTTTTCTTGGCACCTGAAGAGAGCCCGCCTGTTGCGCAGTAAGAGCGCATGCAGACCCGAGAAGTATCATGGGAATCCATTCAATGTAAACATTTTGTGATTCTAGTTGTCCAAGTGTGCATATATCCCAAGTTCAAATGCCTCATTTTCGGGATTTAATTTGGAGCATGTTTGTTAAGACCCAGTCAAAGACACCGGAAAGTACGGACCAAAACATCGACTGAATGCACTAGGAAGCCCAGCAGACGCCCGACTTCCGGGATGAGCATCAAACTTCCAGTGGCTTCACTTGCGCCCTGCTCGGAGAGCGGCTATGCGCCATCCAGCCACCTATAATAGAGATCAGTGTTCACACACTGCCCGACAAAAGAAGAGCGCACATTCGTTTCTTGAATCTCTTTGCATGATCAAAATCGAAACATCACGTGCACCATATTTTCAACCACGAAGAGTTACTACATTTTACCCCTACGTTCTTATTAAAGCCTGTTTCTAGCTACCACCGCTCGGGGATTCTTTTCGGCTTCTCGTTGGCCAAAAGAAAATCCCAAGGCCTCCATCTGTATCTTGTGCACGCCATGGCTCCGCCCACTCCTCCCATTGACCAACCCCCTCTATACATGGCTCGGTACTGCCGATGCGCCGGTGTCGACACCTATCGGGATCTACGCCACACGCCTCAGGCGAGCCGCTCCGGTCCCAACACTACCCGGTACTCTAGTACACTGTATAGCGAAACAGGCTGGTGCGATCGGTACATTGTTGGTACTTGCAAAAAGAACGCTGTATAAAATGTCCACGCGAACACTTGGCCGCGAAATACTCCGACAGCCTGTCCCTTGGATCTCCGAAAGGTAGTTCAGTGGACGGTCGAAGACAGTCGAGACTCTTCAGAAGGCATATTCACCGCGAGGTTCGACCATCACGGGTGCTACTGCAACAAGGGGAACTACTCTGCGTCTCACGCTTAATGGGCGATTCGCACACTTGCGTCGAGTCAAACCGACTGCGAGGGTTGCTGTGGCAACAACTGCGTCGGCTACAACCAGTACCTCCTCGACGCGGGACGGCGCGTACCGCTTTCCTGCCGCGAGGATGCCGCTCGGCACTCAAACGCATTGAAACGCGAATGTGCGTATGGGTCTTTACTCGGCCTATAGTGGTACGCTAGCGAAGGCGTGCGAGCCACCGGGTCAGTGCGCTCAAGTTTGTGCACTGGAGGCAGTTATAAAGTCAAGAACCTGCGCCTTAGTCGTGCCTCTCCCTACTCCCGTTAGTGCGGTTGCTTGGTAAACACCAAATGACCGTAGGAGACTGCATAATAAAAATTAAAAAAAGAAGAAAAGCGTGAGTTGTTAATTTAACTGTAATTCGAGACCAATCGCTCTGACGAATTTTTTTTCCGCCCGGGTCATCTCACGAGGAAAGCCACTTCATTATTTAAATATAGGCGTTAATGCCACAAAACTCGCAAAAATTATCGCGACTTTCTAGTCGGAAAAAATGAAGTCACCCAAGACGTAATGGTAGACGCAGGCTGCGTAATATTTTAATTTCCCCTGTTTCCGAGTGGGACCGTCTAAAACAAAAACAAGAAGAAAAGAAAGAGATGTGAAACCCTATCCAGCGAACAGTTGCACTTGCCCCTTCTCTCTGTTCCGCCTTCTAAACGCGGATTTTTTTTTTTTTTCATTCGTTGTATTTGTGACATAATAGGCGCACGTGGCCCGTTGCCTGCGCTCGGGCCTGCCGTGGCCCTTGAACCATTTTCCGCCTCGACACTGCTTTCCTGAGGGAGGGAGGGAGGTATTGATTTCCGCTTCCGTAGGTGCACTGCTCTCCCGCGCTTGTTTCTTTCCGGGAGCGACGTAAAGAACACACATCGTTGGAGAGGGGTGTCACTTTCGCAGCGCGGAATGTCGCCCCCGTGTCTGGTCGAACGCTCATAGCAGGGTATCCGTTTTGTCTCTTTGCAGTCTGGCCTGAAAAGATCCCGTTGCGCCCGCCTTGTATCCTTTCTCGGCCCCTGCACAAGACGACCTCCTATCGTCGGATCAGGACCTCCCGCTGCTCGTTGTAAAACCCCTGGTTGACTCTTGGCTCCCGGCCGACGTGACCCGAGACAGGCACCCTCACCATGGCAGCGTTCGTGGCAAAGCAGATGATGGGCAGCAAGCTCAATGCCGTCAAAGGTACGTGGCCTCTCTCTCTCTCTCTCACGTTCTTCGTCGCGACAGGTGCAACGTCGAACCCGCTCCGGGGGCGAGGCATGCAGTACCTGAAATTGTCGCTCAACTCTTAAACAAACCTTTTCTTGACTGACTGGATAAAACCACAAAATAAAACTTAACCGAAAAAAAAAACAAAAAAAGAAACGAAAACACTGGCGTAATATTTACGTTGGGTGACACATTTTCAGTGGAACCGATGCTGAAACATGTTCTTATTTAGGCACGTGGACCCGAAATAAAAGCATGTTCTGAACGCCCCCACCCACACACACACACACACACGCACACACATATTTTATATCTTCTGGTTTTTATTTACACACGAATGTCACAACATGAACTTTCTGCGAAAAAAAAAAAAACACACTCGGAGCGCAATAGATTACGTCGTGGGACTCATTTTGAGCGAGGACCGATTCTAAAGTACTTCTCTTTCGGCACGTTCACCAATATAGAAGCACGTTGCGGATTCAACCTAATTTTTATAAGGTTAACATGTTTTTTTCTTGAGACTTCAGTCATAAAAGTACTTTACTTTGTTTTCTATTAGGGGGGGGGGGGAGGGGGGAGGGAGGATTTATTTTGGGTCGTACTTTAAGAAATATTTGTGGGGATCAGTGTTCCTTTATTCTGAAGTGAGTGACTGAAGAAAGACGAAAATAACAGATTACTTCGTACGTCTTTTTTTATTGTTTGTCGCTTGATTGTGTTTATCGCACTGTATAGGGCAGAAATCAATATAAACTACTTTTAATAAATAAAATAAAAACGCGCAGCAGTTGTTGCAGGCATGCAGCAAACCTTTTTGCTGCCTGCTTTCTTTCAAAGGTGTAGTGACGTCATCGTCGTTTGCACAAGCAATAACCTCCCCCCCCCCCTCCCCCCCCCCCCCCCCCCCCCTTTGTTCCCGTCGTTCCACGCACCACAGTTTTGGGGGCACGGCTGCTATGGTAACTGCAGCGTATGCTATGGAATACGAATGTTTCGAAGCACAGCGTGTAGATGGCGTTTCACCGTACCCTATGTAACACGCAGTTTTGAAATAAAAATCTAGATTGTGCTTCAAACGATGGGAGGCGGACTGAGGTAAGTGAGGGGGGGGGGGGAGGGTATTTCCCTTCGGGGAGAGTTCCACAACTGAGGTAATCAAGTCACGTTGGCTGAAAGGCGAGCAAAGGGCGACCTGACGCCACCGATGACGTCACTTCCGCTCGTTTTCCTTCTTGCTAACTTTTTCGCCGTTGCTCGGCGAACAGCAGGGAGAGGAGCTACGGCGAAACTTCGACTTGCGATTACGTCACTCCCCTAAATGAAATAATAAAAACAACCTTCAAACGCAATATTTTTAAGGTGCCTGCATCCAACCTCAGTAATTTTCTTTAACCGAATTAGCTTTTTTTTTATATTGAATAGAGCACGTTCCATTTCGCTTTGCATATAAAACCAGAGCTCCTCAAAACTAAAATTTATTCCATACCCTTCCTGCTTCTGAAGCCTGGACACTTTGAAGCGAATATGCTGCGCAGAAGCGACGCGCATGGCGTTAGAACAGCAGCAGTTGCACCGCGTACTACCCGGTCGAGCCGCCGGGCAAAATTCATCCGTTGTCCGCCTTATATTTGCTCCATGGAGTCCGACCATCAAAAGGCATGGTTCCGAGCTTAAAAAACAGTCTCTATCCAGCTCAAATTTTTGTTTTATTAGAAATAGATTACTGACGTTAAACTTGAACTGAACGATGTAAATTGAACTTAACAATCCACTTCTTCTGAAGGGATTTTTTTTTTTCATGTATCAGCAAATTAATTTTTAAACTTTTTTTTTTTTTTTTTGCTGATAGAGCAATAAAGGTGGCCGGTTCTAGTTTATGGACTGGGGGACGGGACGGGACGAGAAGATGATACGTTATGATGAAATTACGAAACAGGCATTTGAGAAGATTCAACTTTGAATACAGGTCATAGAAACAAAATGTTATATTTTTATCCATATTTGCCGATAACCTATTACAATACTTAGCAGTACATAAGAAATCTCACAAATACAAGAAGATTTTCAAACAAATGTGTCACATTTTTGCAAGATTTCAGAAGTAATTGTTGCTTAAATAGCAGACCACACATGCACTCTCTCTCTCTGTGTCTTTCTCTCCCTCTCTCTTTCTTTCTTGCTTGCTCTCTGGATCTCTCTTTCTCTCTCTTTCTTTCATACAGTACCGAATTTATATTCACCAGGAGTTTCTCATACCTACCTTTCTAAGGATGACAATGTCATTAAGATTTCTTAAATACGGAACACGTCCTACTACGGTAAATTACTAAATGAGGAAGGGGAGAGGAGTTAACCAGCAACCTTGGACTTGCACGAGGGGCATCAGTTTTCATCTGGCCGCTTCTCCGGTCAGTCGATGTTCGAACGTTTGATTCAATTCCTATTGCTGCCTCCCCAACATGTATCCAGAGGGATTTTTTCAAAGCACTGCCAAAATAGAAATTATTACGGTAAATGTAAATATTACCTTTATTGCGTTGAAATTATTTGTTTAAACTTGCCAAAGCATTTCCCTCTGACGCAAAGTGATAATGTGCCAAAGGCTTTTATGTGGACCTATTTGAGACATCCTAGAAATGGGCTCTTTTTGGTCAGGATATTTAAATATTATATGTTAAAGAGGAAGAATGTTAACTGAAATTTAAGAAACAACGATTTCCCAACTTGCAAAAATATGATCAATTTTCTCAAAACCCCCATTTTTTGTGAGATTTTTATGTTCAGCCAGGTATTTAATGGGTTATCGACAAATACAAACAGAAAAATGATTGACCAAACCTAGATCCTGCGGTTGTGGCTTCTTGAATAAGAGGATGTGTCGTCTTGTGCGAAGATGGCAGAAATTAAATCGGAGGGGTTGGCGCACCCGCGTGATCCCTTGGTCTCAGGAAATGTAAAGCGCATGAACGTCACACGGGCGCTGTTTCCTTGGGTGAAAAGATTATACATTCTGGAAGCTTGCCACGACGTCCGGTGAGTCCTAGAGGCGGTGTGTGACTGGAAAGGACCTGGCACATCAACTCAAGTAAAGAAGCTATTGGGAATGAAATTAAACAAAATAAGTACAGATACACGTTTTACCCAAGTAGGGAATAATTTGCGGAAAGACACACTTTCCCCCTGATGTCTGCTTTTTACCTCCTTAAAGGGATACAACAACGAAATTTCGGCGCTCATTTTTTGGTTTATATGTGTTCAAAAGAGCAGTATCACATGGAACATACCGATATCTTGTTTAAAAAGTCTCGAAAAGGAATTTTAAAACGAATTAAACGATTAGCAAAGAGCACCTGGTGGATGTCGCTAACGCCTCGTTTGTAATGCTCGTCTAGGAACCTTGACAGCTAGTGACGGAGGTTGTCTCGTCTCCGACCACGACGAGAGAAGGGGGGAAGGAGGAACTCCCCTCTTCCCGAGAATCCCTTTTGCGTGTCGCAGTAGTCGCTATTGTCCCCCTACAAGATTATAGAAGATTAACTCGTCACTCAAAATTCGTACAAAAGCAGCCGCTTCGGTGGCTGGAACGACTAGGCCAGCCTCTCGACGTCAGCCTCATCGTAGCTTTGCTCGTCTTGAGACGACCTACGTCACGATTGCGTTGGATGTCACGTGCTCTAAGCTGGGCCTTCTCCGAGCGCTTGCCAGAGTGGGCCGTTTATAACGAGAAATACAACCACCAGGATCAAAATACAAACGTGCGATTGTCATTTACGGATATTGTGGATCATATTCAACCTATTTTTGAACACGACGGGAATATTTCAAATTTCGTTGAAGTATCCCTTTAAAGGGATACTACAACGAAATTTCGGCGCTTATTTCTTAGACTAATTGAGTTCAAGGGAGCAGTATCACATCAGACACACCAATCTCTTGTTGAAAAATAAACAACAAGGAATTTTAAAATAAATTAAACGATTAGCAATGAGCACCTGGTGGATGTCGCTAACGCCTCGTTTGTAATGCCCGTCTAGGAACCTTGGCAGGTAGTGACGATAACTGTCTCGCCTCCGGCTATCACAAGAGAATAGGGGAAGGAGCAACTCCCCTCACCCCGAGACTCTCTTTTGTGAGTTTCAGACATCGCTATTGTCCCTGTGCAAGAATATAGAAGATTAAATTGTCTCTCAAAATTCGTACAAAAGCAGCTTTGGGGTTAGTTGCGATGGCCCGATCGCTGGCGTGCTTCGGCCACTTCGGTGGCTGGAACGGCTAGGACATCCTCTCGACGTTATCCTCGCCGCATCTTTGCTCGTCCCGAGACAATCTACGTCGCGACTGCGGCGGATGTCACGTGCTCACCGAGCGCTTGCGAGAGTGTGCCGTTTATAACGAAAAATACATCCATCAGACTCAAAATACAAACGTGCGATTGTCGTTTACAAATATTGTGGATCATATTCAGCCTATTTCTGAACACGACAGGTATATTTCAAATTTCGTTGAAGTATCCTTTCAAAGCGGATATATTTGACAGATACTGTTCAACAGTATGTTCGCTTTTAGAAAGGCGCTATGCTACGCTCGTTTTTCGCGTCTAGTATAGACAATCCGAACATCTCTGGTGATCAGGCGAGCGTGTCTCGATACCCCAATAGGTAATCCAGTCAGAGGCTCAGTCTTCTTACGACCAATGGACGTGCGTTCATCCTCTGAAAAGGGAGCTTTAAACATTTACATATCTGTCTTCCATACAATACTCTACTTAGTTGAGCTAATTGGAAGATCGAACGAGATTTAATCGCATGCGTTACAGGGAAGTGCAGGTGCCGCGAAAGAGAGCATTATCAAGCGGTATTTATGTTTTCTCTGGTCAAGACCCATCGCCTCGAATCTTCAGAATCATTTCACGAATCAAAAAAACGTCAGCTGGATGAAACGACGCCCGCCGTACGCCAGAGTCTCGAGCA